TTGGAGTCAGGAAGACCTGAGTTCAGATCCAGCCTCAGACACTTGGCACTTACTAGCTGTATGACTCTGAGCAAATCACTTAACCCCAATTGCCTCACCAAAAAAAAAGAAAGAAACAAAAGAGAGAGAGAGAGAGAGAGAGAGAGAGAGAGAGAGAGAGAGAGAGAGAGAGAGAGAGAGAGAGAGAGAGAGGAGGAGAGGGAGGGAGGGAGGGAGGGAGGGAGGGAGGGAGGGAGGAGGAGGAAGGAAGGAAGGAAGGAAGGAAGGAAGGAAGGAAGGAAGGAAGGAAGGAAGGAAGGAAGAAAGAAAGAAAGAAAGAAAGAAAGAAAGAAAGAAAGAAAGAAAGAAAGAAAGAAAGAAAGAAAGAAAGAAAGAAAGAAAGAAAGAAAGAAAGAAAGAAAGAAAATGAATCTAGCAGCCAATTTGCTGGCTACTTCTGACTACTTTCTGGCTACCAAGACCCGTCCAAGTTGCTGATCTCCTCAGACAGTCATACACACTCTGCCTATATTTGAGGCAATTTTAAAGAGATAAAAATTCTAGTAAGAGTTGATGAAGCAGGATGGTATAATTGATGGAGCGCTAAAGCCCTGGGTTCAAATTCCACTTACTAGCAATGGCAGTGTCAAGTCACTTAAATTTGCTGAGCCTCACTTTCCTCATTTGTAAAATGAGGTTAATGATACCTATAGTACCTGTCTCACAGATGTGTTGTGGGCTCAAATGAGATAGTGCAAAATCCTTGGCAAGGTTGAAAGCACTACTGAAATATCAGTCCTAGATTAATAATAATAGCTGGACTTTGTGTAGACATTTGAGATTTACAAAGAATACATATAATTATCTCATTACATCTTTATAACCACCCTGTAAGATGGATTATACAGGTATTATAATCATCATTTCACAGGCAAAGTGACTTATTTATGGTCACACAGCTAAGAAGTATCAGAGGCAAGATACCCAATTATCTCTTGAATTAATCTGACTTTTTTTCTAAAATGAGGTATATATAATATTACATATATACACATGCATATATATGTAATATATATATATATATATATATGTATATATATATATATATATATATATATAGAGAGAGAGAGAGAGAGAGAGAGAGGGAAAGAGAGATTTTGTTTACTGAAACCTGGGCAAATTGTGAAGCTGCACAGAGACATTGCCCTGGAATGGCAACAATTGGTGATTAAGGATGGAGAGCTCCAAGAAAGGGGAAATCTTGGGATGATGCTCTCAAGACTGGTTTCTTGGAGTGAGTTAATATCCTAAGTAGTAGCTGAATAGGAATCCCCTTATCCATTAGGCAGAAAGAAAAAGCAAAAAGGACCAATCTAGAAACAGCTATGTGGTGCAGTAGACAAGAGTGCTAGGCCTACAGTCAGAAAGACCTAAACCTCAGACCCTTACTAGCTGTGAGACCCTGGGCAATTCATTTAATCTCCATTTGCCTCAGTTTCCTCAACTGTAAAATGAGGATAATAGTAACACTTAACCTCCCATTTGTGAGGATCAAGTGAGATGTTTATAAAGGTCTTAGAGCACAATGCCAGGTACATAGTAGGCACTTAATAAATGCTCATTTCTTTCCATTCTACCTGCTGTTTGAAGCACAAAATATTATCTCCCACCCACCTTGGCAATCATTTCTAACTGAAAAAATTTGCCTGCTGCTTCTTAAAACCTAGAGAAGGGCAAGAGGTAAAGAGGGGAGGAAAGAAGACAGAAAGGCTGTCCAAGATCACTCAAATCATTTGAACAAAATATCAGTGTTTTCTCTGCTTTGAAATGAAATATTTTGAAGCCTTCACACACACACCCACACACACACACAAATTCTCATAATAAAATAAATTTATTTTCACAATAATCTCAAAAAATGATCAAATTAACAATGACCAATATAAGCAGAACACACAGAGGCCACAGTCATAACAAAATACTTGCAGTGGCCAAGATTTGCCAAGTATACATATCTCCCTTTCAATTGCTCAGAAACACATTCAATTCTTTCTGGATTATCTCTGTTCTCCCTCAATTTATTTTTATAGTTAACATCAAAGAACTGTGGCATAACATGCCCTTTCTCCTTACAGAAGAGTGGAATTATTTTTCCTTCTGCCTTTATCCCACAGTTAGTTGGTGTTACATGAATAATTCCAAAAGTGCCAAACCAGTCAGTTTCCTTAAAGCTGAAGAAAGACAACAAAAAGGGCAGAAAAGTTGGAAGTTGAAAAACCTACTATAAACTTATCTTACATTTTATAACCAGTCTTGCAGAATGTACATTAAGGAGAAAAGCAGAAAGAAAGACCAAGTGTTTTGCTTCTTTATAAAAGTACAGTTTGGATAGCAATCATTTTGTTGGAAGTGAAAGGAGGGAACCATTGAGTTAATATACTCGAGGAAGCAGATACAGCTAAACTGGTTAGGGAAGATATTTATAGCCCACTACTTAGATTTCTGCTTACATCGCAGACAAATACTTACCTATAGCATCTTCCTTTATTGATACCCAGGCCCCTAACTACCATTAGCCCTCTTGCTAATTTATTCTTAGACCTAAGACCCCCTGATTATTTATATTAGTATCCTTACAATGGGGTCTCCAGTTGCTATCCTGGTGGTCCTCTGCGTTTGCTAGGTTCCCTCCTTAAAACTAAGATCCCCAGCAACTTTTATGACTCTGAAATCTCCTGTCTCTCAAGGCTTCCAGGTTATCAAACCAGTTAGTCAAATTAGCAAAGTAGCTTTTCTCTTCTGACCTCTGTACCAAACATTTCAGAATTCCATTCTCCACCCGAAATAGCTAGCTTTGCTACATAGAGCTTTAAAGTTTGGAATGCATTTTACATATGTTCTCTCCTTTGATCCAACAGCCCTGTGATATAGTTGCTAGTATTATCTCCATTTTACAAATGAGGAAACTAAAGCCAAGTTGCCAAAGGTCATGTAGCAAGTAAAGTATTTGAGGCAGGATTTGAACTCAGATCTTCCTGACTCTAGGTCCAGTGTTCTATCCACTGTACCAACTAACTGCTTCACATTAATGATGTGTGTGGAATCCCATTCTCCTAACATCCCATTCTCCTAACCATTCTAATATGGTTCTATTAGAACCATATATCTGATATTTTGCCTTGCCATTCAAAAGTGAGATATAATGGAAAAAATCATAGAATTTTCCTACACCTGCCTAAACATTAAAAAAGTTGCATCATGCAATTTTAAAAATAATAATAAAAGTTATTTTAAAACAGCCACTATAAATGCCAGGTTTTATTTATGGTCCTAATGTATGGCAAAAGCTAAACACAATCACCGGTGAACCACCCACCTTGTTAACTAAATATTTTAAATCATAATACAGTCAATTGACTTATTTTATTAGGTTCCTCTGAAGATATAAATTAAAACAAGTTAAAGTAAGTTCTTTCTAGGTTCATGAACATAGAATATTGAAAGGAAAAATTAATTTTTACAGTTGAAAAAAAACTGATATGATTTTTCCAAGTCACCTGTCCTTTAGTCAGTAAATATTTATCAAGTATCTAGTATGTGCCAGACATTGTGCTGAGTGCCAAATTATATATAATTAATGGCACTATTTAATTAACATACACAATTAATTACCAATCAGATATATAAAGACAGAACCAGGCTAGATCTTCTGGAGCTCAGTCTAAGACTCCTTTTACGACACTGCTTTTTCTCCCATAGTAAACATGATACCTTCTCTACTTAAACATAAATGCTGAAGTTATCCCACTGCTCAGCTCTTATTTCCAAATATTCTAAGAATAATATTGGAGTCAACCTGAGTTGGGTTCAAATCCATCATGCAATAATGTCCTGCAGTGAAAATAGTACTGCTTTGGAAGCTGGGATCAAATCTCAGTTATTCCACTTGTGACATACAAAAGATGAGATGGCTGAGGAAACAAAAGTTCAATTTTCTGAGCATAATGATTTATTAAGCAATGTATGCCAATTACCCAACAAACCGGAAGTAGGCCCCTTCCTCTAATACAGGGAGAGATGAACTTTTATTTATTGAAAACAACCAAATAAGGCCAATTAATTAAAAATAAACAATATAATATTACATAATCTGATTTCTAATTGGAGGAAAGATTAGGGACTTTCCAAATTGGGAGGGGAGAATGAACAGGTGCAATTCCCTGAAATCAGAAAAGGAGGTGTCCTGCTCCCCTGAAATCTGAAAAGGAGATATCCTACTCCCCAAAGTATCTATAAACATAGAAACAACTGATTGATCAAGGCCAGTTTTCAGATAAAACCTATCAGTTGTTTGAGATCTACAATTGTGAGAAAACTTCTTTCATTAATCTTTGGATCTGACCAAGTTTCTGATCAATATAACCTAGGTCCTTGGTTAAGGGTCTCTAAGCAGTAGGGAGAGGTGGTCCAGTTTCCCAGCCATGCAAGGCTAGGTTCAAACAATGCAATAAAGTTTTCTTTCAATTCTCAAAATTGAATAAAGTTTTCTCACAGGACAAAATAGACTCATAATTGAATAGAAAGGAACTTAGCTCCAGAACTGAGTCTCAAGACGGAGTCAGTCCACTCAATTACCACAATTAACCACTTGCTGTCCTAATCCCTTCAGTTCCCTCACACTTACTGCCCATGTGGTTATGGGCAACTCACCTAATCTCTCTGGGCCTTAAGTTTCCTCATCTATACAATGGGGGTGGTAATTAAGATAATTGGTCCCTTCTAGCTCTGAATTCATCATCTCATCCTATGAATATAGAAGCATTTCCACTCACAAGACAGAGGAGAACGGGTCATTGAGTTTAGAATGTCCTTTTGCTGTCTACATGTATTGACGCAACAGAAAAAAGGCGTGGCTTTCATCAGTTGCCAAAAGATAACAACATGGTCCAGAGTGAACACTGTTTGCAAAGTGTATATGGCATTAACTATGAAATGTTTACTGTCAGCTTTTTTTTTTTCAGGAAGAAAATGAGATCCCCACCAGTGTGTTTGCAAAAGAGCCTGTTCCCAGCATAACCGAAGGAAAGGAAGAGTCTGTAGATGAGAACAAGTCTCTAGAAGAGACCTTGCATACTGTGAACCTGTCATCCGATGATGAAATACCTAATGAAGAGGATGCCCTGGAAGACAGTACTGAGGAAAAGGTGGAAGAAAGCAGGGCAGAGAAAATAAAAAGATCAAGTCTCAAGAAAGTGGATAGCCTCAAGAAAGCCTTTTCTCGCCAAAACATTGAGAAGAAGATGAACAAGTTAGGCACAAAGATTGTATCCATGGAAAGGAGAGAGAAGATTAAGAAATCTTTCACCACCAACCACCAGAAGACATCATCAGGGAAAAGCTCCCCTTTCAAAGTATCTCCCCTTACTTTTGGTCGGAAGAAAGATCACGAAGGAGAGGGCCCTGCTGAAGAAGAGACCAAGCGGGTGGAGACACCAGCCAGTGAGAAGGCCCTGACTGAGAATGAAGAGAGTTCTTTCACTGAGGCCCCTTCAGATGCATCTTTCCCTACAGCTCAAGTGGAAGAGAATACAGCCAAAGATGTTCAGGAGAAGCCTGTCACAAGAGAGAGCAACCCAGCAACAAAGAACATTGAGCTGTCAATTGTTGAAGATGAAGAGTTTGAAATGGCCCAGGAATACTCTCAAAAGAACCATGATGACCGCTACAGACTCACCATTGGAGAGACAGAACAGTCTGATGAAGAGCAAGCCCAACCTGCTGTTCTCCAAATAGACCAAACAGCATAACTTCTGAGTTTTCTTTCATGCCTCCACCTCCCATAAGGTTCAGTTAAGTGAATAACCAAAGTCTATGAATAAGCTGCTGTCTATCTCCAGTGTTATTGATTCACTTTGTTACTTGTTATTTCCTTTGCAATAATAATTTATTTCATAGTAGTATCACCCAGAATGACCAAGACTTACTGCTATGTAGGCAACCTATCTGGTGCTCTATGTCTCTTTATCTCTCTTACTAGTTTGGCTCCATTCATATAGAAATTCTGTGAGCATTAATGAAAAAAAAAAAAGAAATTAAGCAATTGGGGGGGGATAAAAGCTAATAGATTTGGCTTAGAGCAACCAACAGATGACTGGGATACCAGTCATGATACCTCTGATTCAATGTTTCCTCTCTTACAATAATTTCATAGTTTAGTGAATAATGTAGCAAAAACATAGTGTTAACAGAATCTGATTTCCCATACTTATGCTAACTGTGAATTACTGATCGTTTTGGTGGATATATTGTATATATATATGTGTATTTTACTTAGGTTCCATTGCACTTGAAGCCTAAAGCATTTGCAGAAGATAGAGGTTAGAATATGACATTCATTTAAAAGAAACTACTGTATTATATTACAAATGGAGAAGTCATCAAAAAGAGAGAGAGAGAAAGAAAAAAGTATAGACAGGCCTAATGAGCCAAAGCAAAAGAAGAAAAAAGAGAGGCAGAGGAAAAGTGGTAGAGAGAGAAATAAGTAGAAGTAGGAAAGGGGACAGGGAATGAGAGGAAGAGGGAAAAATGAAAAATAGAAAGAGATGGGGGAAAATGCTTGTAGTATTAACCTAACTAATTCATTCCTTAAATAACACCATTTAATGCTTTCTTATACCCTGAAATAGTATTTTACTAAATAGCATCTTTGAAACATTGTGTCAGCAGCTATTTTGAAAATAATATAGTAGATACATAATTTGTACAGTATTAAAGCAGAAAAGTAACAAGAATGTAATGTTTTCTTAATGAAAATAATAAACTTTAAATGTTTTTCTGAGGAAACTCCAGAGGATATGCTCTAGATAAAGATGAAATTACTTAGGGAACAGCAAATACCAATCAATAGATGCAAGGTTTTGCCAAGAGTTACATCTTCCTCTGCCTTCATTTTATAATTTCCAAGTTGAAGCTACCTGTGTTCTCCTGTTATAGAGTTTGGGTTTCCAAATGGTTCAGGATTAGGCACTGGAAGTTTGTGGGAATGAGGAGATCAGGTAAAATGAACTATCTCCATTCTGTTCAGAATATTAATTGCATTCCAGAGCATAGTTCACTTACTTAGAGATTAATTTACAAAAAAGTATAACCACTTTTTATATTCTTGAAGCACAGTGATATTTATACACACTTTTAAAAATGCAAACATATTACAGATTTCAGTCCTGGCTTATACTGTGCCAAAGGGTTGCTTTCTCTAGAAGTGTTTTGCAGTGAGAAATGCTGATGTGAAGAGGAAAATATTACATCATAAATAGTTTAATGACAACAGTATTAAGGAAAAAAAATTCCATCCCACCAGTAAGTCATATGAGGAATTGCCTTTCCCCTTTCCATCTCCCAAATAGAGGTTCCTAGACTATATACGTCAATGTTTCAACACTTTGAGAATGCATGACTCAGCCAGCAGAGGAACTCTACCCAGGGATGCAACTCTCAACCTTCTCCCAACTTGGTAAAAAGCCCTCCAGGAGCTGTCATGGATGAAAATCAGCAGCAGCTGGTAGTCAGTCATCTGCTGAAGGACCTCTTCAATTAAACTGGTCTGGATTTCAGACGATAGGCATATCATCTATTTCCTGCACTGAAAGTTCCACCATCTTGGTAGGACTTGTCGGAACTTCCACTCTACTGACATTACCTTCAAGAATCCAGTGTCACCCCCATGCCTTGATGACAAATCATGGTAAGGTTTCAGTGGCAGAAAAGGACATTAATATTAATATACAATACCCAGATGTCTGCTAGTACAGGTAAAACTGAACAGACATATCTTGCTTTCTATAAAGGTAAATATGAATATATAAATGGCTCCCATTCCTCCAAATGTGCAAACATTAGCTGCTTTATGGGACATGGTGTAGTGGAAGGAACATTGCATTTGGAGACAGAAGGCTTAAATTCAAATCCCAGCTCTCCCACTTGCTATACATGTTGACTCTGGGCAAGTCACTTCAACATTACTGGGCCTTAGTTTCCTCATTTGTAAGATGAAGGATTTGAACTAGGTGACCTCTGACATCCCTTCTAGCTCTAAAACTATGACACTCTGATGTGGTTTTGAGTACCTCATGTGCACAATCACAACAAAAAAGAAACGCCAATTCCAGGAAGATAATGAAAGTAGAAGTCAGAAAATGTGGACAGAAAAGAATCATTGGTTTCCATGAAACATGCTAATAAAACCTGTAAACAATTTTCATTATGGAAGGGTTAAAGATATTCTGAATATATCCATATAGGCCCACTTATGCCTGGCATTTTCAGGCTCTTACAAAGGGGATTGGATGAAAAATTATCCACCAGGGCCTAGCTATAAATTTTTCAATCTATTTTTGCTTTTTTTCCTTAATTAATTCCTCAGACAGAGGTGGTACCCTGGATTCTCTGAAGTCACATCCATGCAAAGAGACAACAAGAAGGAATTGGGCTCTTTTTCCAATAGCGTCTTAGAAAGGCAATCTTTAATGGACATTTTGCTAGCAAGAAGCATAGAGGTAGATTCCTATTTTGTATTAACAACAATATAATTTCAAATACTGAAAAGTTGTGTACTAACAGCAGAACAGCAGATATATTAAAGGGTAAATAAAATTTTTAAAAAGTGTCCGACAATGTGAATTTCTTGACAGAGCAATTTTAGAATATGGCAGAAAGATATGATTTTTAGTCTCCATGGTAAACAGACCAGTAATGTTGATTGTTTCAGTCTTGATTTCTCCTATTAACTTTCCTTCCTTTTTCCCTGATCTCATTTAGAAAACCAAGCCTCATTCTTCAAGTTTAACTTTCCTGACATCACCTTGCCAGCTCTGGAGAGCCTCTGAATACAAGCAGGCAGCTTGATGATTCTGATAGCTCCATCTGCATTTTTATTGTAATTCGCCAGACTTTATAATGCTTTAAAGAGTTCTACAAACATAAATGTATTGAGCTGTACATTCGGTTTATTCACATAGATAAACCTTTGTCTTCTGCAGTGCCATGCACTTGGTAGAAGACTTAATTTTACTGACAGTCCAAAACACACATGTTTAACCTTTATGGAGTTGCTGTCAGTTCCCAGCAGCCATGAAATTGGGGCACCAAAATCTAATGTCATGTTTACATTTTCCTTTCAGAAATGCCTATTCCATTTGTTCCTGTAAACTAGATGCCAATAAGTACAACATGGAAAATTGTGCCCAGGCATTTTTTTCAACTTTTACAGGAAACTAGAATCCATTATCTTTTTTTTTTTACATATTAAAATCCTGTGTGATAAAACAAAGAACTAGGCCAAGTAATTGGTTGAAAACACACATGTTCTATGGGGATTAGAGGTGGCAACAGTGGTAGGATTGAAAATTATTCTTTCTATATTACTGCTAAATTATTTACCTATTGGATGAGGCTACAAAGTCCCCAAAATTCCTTCTGCATGTGTTCTTCCTGCACAGCCACCAACACATTCCAAACTATGCCCACAGATGTGAATTGAGCTACTTTTCACCAAAGTTTCTAATGCAATCCAGCCCAAAAAGCTTTTATTGAGCTGTTTTGTCCTTCCTTCTTGAAGAGGACCATGACATTAGGAAGATGATTCCATGACTTGCAAATGAATTGGATTTAAGTCCAAGGTCACCAGCCTTACTTTCTCCTCCGGAGCCATCTGGGTCCAGTGACAAGATATAGATCAGTATGACTGAAGATGGCCCCTCCATGTGGTATGGATGTAGATGAAGGAATACTGGACTTGGAAACAAAAGTTCAATTTTCTGAGCATATTGATTTATTAAGCACTTGCTATGTAAATGACACTTTTTTAAGTACTAGGGAAACAGAAAAACCAAAGAATTGTCCATACTTGCAAAAAGCTTACATCCTGCTTTGGGGAAGAAGGCTGGAAGGATGCAACATGAAACAGGTAAATAGATACATGATCTTTTGAGGAGGGACAAAGAACTAACAACTAATAAAATTCAGGAGAGCCTTCTTGTAGGAGGTGGCCCAAGGGAAGAGACTTGAAGGGAATCAGGAAGGCTAAGAGGTAGAGCTAGGTAGAAAATTCATTCTATGAATAGAGAAAGCCTGTGTAAAGATACAGAAGGAAAGATGGGAAATGGGATGTGCTGGACAGGGAATGGCATGAATACCAGACTTGTTAAACATAGAATGCATGAAAGGGAATAATCTGAAAGAAATCTGGAAAGCTACCCTAGAGAGTCAGACCATAAAGGGCCAATTAACCAGCTCTGGAATACATGCCCTGGAAATGTATTTCACAAATAAATCTGTGTCATGCTGCAATTCTCACAGAAGTACAGCTGAGGTATCTAAAAGTATCAATTCAAATAAAAATTGCACCCTAACAAGAATATCTTTATTCCAAGCAAACAAATAGCAAACAGTTTCTTGCTTCAAAATAAAAGGTTTGAACTTCAGCTAAATCTACACATAAGATGGATTTTCTGTGAACCCACAAAAATTAATTTGACTGGCATAGCCTCCATCCCCCAGGATGCATGTATGTTAAGGTTCAAGTGACTCAGAGTCCCTGGGCATTGTCCCCCACCCCCAAGGCAATCGCTTACTGTAGCATAAAGTGAACTTTGTTGGGTCTCTGTCCCTCATTCTTCATTCCTTAACAGGCGTCTCAGAAAATACTCTGATTTCAGTGTTCTAGGCACTGCTTTGCCCCATGGATGATGGGACAGTCTTCTATTAGTGTCACACCAGCTCTTTGTCTAAACGCTATATAAATGAGTCCTGAGTGGTTTAAGGCCTTAGATCAGAATGTGCTGCTTGTTGCATGTTTGAGCCCCTATCATGCTGGCAGAGCTGAAGATAGTGCTAGAAGTTGAGGGAAGGGGGTCAGGGGAGGATTACCACCTATGCTTTTCCCCATTGGTATCTATCCTTGGTATCTATCCATCTCCCATGGCTGTCATTCCTGTGTGGTGTTGTCACTCTTCAGGAACAATTCCCTCTCCTTCTGCCCTGCAGTTTCCTAAGGCATTAAATAAATCAACCTCCAACTTTCCCACCCTATTTATTACTATTTCTGTGCTTGATATTAGAAGGTATTAAACACAGGTAGGGCTTAGTCATCATTTTAGTGTATCCCACAATTAGGAGCCAGGAAGTTCTTTAAATGTGGCAAAAAAAAACCCTTTTGGTTTGAAATAAAGATTGTAACATAAATAAGTTTCTATTTTTTTTTTAAATTTAGTGCCTGAGCCTAGCTAATTCATCTCTAAATGTTTGTTTGCAACAATGCAGCCCAAAAGTAAGTGATTTTACACTGCAAAATTAAGCTGGTAATCATTATTAACTATTCCATGGCAACCACAGGTTTTCATCATCCATCTTGCTCTAAAACCTAAGGTTCTGTAACTACATTCCAAGATTTCAATGAAATGTATGTCTCAGACTTTACCTTCTGCCACGTTTGAGGGTCTGGTTAAAGACATTAGAGTTTAGGGACTGGATATGAAAGGATACCAGCAATTTCCTACTTTCCTACCCTATTAAAGATAAATTTGCCTTAAATTTGTTTGACATTGTGTTACTATATGCTTTTAATATATTACATAAATTCTTCAAATTATACTCTCTATCACAAATCATCTTGGTGATAATGTGAGTATAGTTCTGTAAATTAACCTCAAGTTTCAGTTAACACCACCCCCCTCCCCTACAAAAATAAAAAAATTACCCCCATAGAAACAACCCCTTGAAGTTCAGAAGCAGGGATTGGTTCACAGTAGTAATGCATGCTTTCCCAAATTCACAGCAGTCTTCTGACATAAGAAAATACAACCCAACAGTGTTTAACTATCAGTAATTGCTTAGTTTATTAAATTCTTAGCAGGCAGGCATCTTGATGCACCTTAACTCCCTTTCAATAGCACTTCCAACAGTATCACATGACAGTGTACACTTTACAAATGCTATTTGATGAGACAGAAATCATAATTCATGGCTGTTGCCCATTTCTACAGAGCAAGAGCAGGACAGATTACTGGAGGGTGTCCATGGTTGTTGAAGGCCACCTGAACCTTTGATGAACAGCTGCTGCAGCTTTACTCTGGAGCAAGTTTAACTATTTCCAATTGTCAAAGTTCCTGTATTATCTTCTGGGCACCCAAGTTTAAGAAGGATATCGATAAGTTGGAGAAAAGGACAACTAGGATGGTGAAGGACCTTGAGTCTCTATCATACAAAGAACAGTGAAGGAACGGGGTGAGGTTAACATCTATACTTATATTTATAGCTATTTATCTACATGTATATCTTTTCCATAGCTATATCTATATACATATACATATACATATATGTGTAATATACAACAGATATGTATGACTAACAAATATAGCATTTGGGATAGTACTATAACATATATAATATGTACATATAACACATATTTAACACATATAATATACAATATATAACATAAATAATGCAAGCATAATCATCTACATTGCTCGCATGTAATAAGTACCATATCAAATGTGTAATATGGACTGTATTAGACCAGAGTGGACCAATACCAGATTGGACTGGATTAAACTAGAATGGACTGGATTGGACCAGACTGGGTTGTCCTGAATTGGACTGGATCAGTTGAACCAGATTGGACTGGTGCCATATCATGCATGTGTAACATGTCATTTATTGCGCAGGGTAATATATATTTGTGTACATATATATAATACGTGTGTATGTATATGTGTGTGTGTATGTGTGTGTATGTGTGGAGACAGAGAGAGAGAGATGACTTGCCTGGGAACACTTCAAACAGAGACTTTAGAAGTTCTTTGCTACTCATTCAGCACTTTCAATTTGAAAGGCACAGCATACTGATGAGGCATGATACCAACTCTGTCATATCTGTATCATCTGTATCCATGTACATATCTCTATCTGTCTGCCTGGAGAAGAGGAGATAAGAGGGAAATGATAGCTATTTTCAGTCACCTGAAGGGGTGACCCATGGAAGGGGATTAAACTTGTTTTATTTGGTCCTGGAGGGAGGAACCAGGAGAAGTGTGTAGAAGTGGCAAAGAGTCAAATAAAGGTTTGATCTCAGGAAAAATATCATAATGATTAAAGATGCCCCAAAGTGGAATGAGCTGCCTCTAGAAGAACTGAATCCTTGGAAGTCTTCAAACAGAGAATGGATGATCACTTATCCAGTATATTAGACTGGGGATTCTTTTGGTGTCTGTGCCATGATTCCTTCCAATTCTCATGTTCTATGATTCTGTGACCTTAGACATGTCACATCTCTACTCTAGGTTTTAGTTTCCTTGTTGGGAAAAAGGGGAAATTGGGCTGGATGATCTCTAAGTTTCTCCCCATCTCTAGATGCTATAATAGATTTTATACAGTAGCTACTAGCCCCAGTTGATCCAGAGCTCAGTTCAAATTCAGCAAGCAACCCCGGAAAGAAGACAAGCAAACAAGTCATCCTGTGCTACTTCACTAATTACTAAATATTAATTGTATAGATTTCAAATCAGGTCAATTTAGAACTCAATATAGAGGTCAATCCCATTTTATTATGAAGATAAAGCCTGTTAGTATAAAGCTAAAGTTTTCATAAGTTAAGGGCCTGTGATTTAACAGAATGGCAAGCTCCCTTCCCACCTATAACTTAGAGGCTTGGAGAGATGCCTGAGGCTCAAAAGATGAAATGATTTGTTTGGGGTCACAGAGCCAAAAGATGTCAGAGGTAACTTTTGGACTCAGATATTCCTGACTCCAAGTCCAGTATCAATCCATTAAGCTAAGCTTCCTCCCCTGGAGCCTTCATTCTGTGAAACAATGATGCCTAAATTAACCAGATGCTTCTTTCTCTGGGCAAGAAATGAAGAAATGTTCTCTTTGTCCTCATAAGTCAGGAAATTTATTACAACAATAACAACAACTAATATTTACGTAATGCTTCAAGGTTTGCAAAGTACTTTGCATATGCTAACTCATTTTGAAATAAGTTCTATATAGTCTGGCAGTCTCTAGCTTCTCAAAGTGAGCCTCTTCATAGAAAGTGTATAAAGATAAAACTCATCATTTATATGTAACACAAAAATGACCACAAAATAGAAATCTGCCAAGACCAAAAATTTTGCCTTGAACTAAAATAAGCAAAACAAAACAAAAACCTCATAAGAACTTGGAGTTAGGAGATTTGAGTTCAAAGTTGAACTTTGATGCCCACACAAATATATAACCATGGGCAAGTTACTTAGCTTCCTGGGCTTCTTCACAAGTGACATAGAAATAATAACTCCTATACTACTCTAATTTGCGCTAACTTTAGCATAGTCTCCTGAAGGCTATATCCAGTTTCAAGGTATTCTTTAGGTCAGTACCTATTCAAAACTTCCCCTTTTAGTTCCCACTCAATGCATTCTCTCACAGACCAAACCCTGACACCCAAAATCACCAATACAATGTACCTGTATAGATTCAAGCACTAGATAACTGTGAGTTATTAAGAAGCAAAAACATGAAGTGTAGCTATTGAAAGGAAATCCATTCTTGACTCTTCTTGAATTAGTGAAAGGATTACTATTAATGCCATGTAGCCAATTCACTAAGTAAAGTAGTACTCAATAAGGTCGACAAGTAGTTATACTCAAAAATTAGTGTGAATACTACCTTATCATTAGTATTCCAAGCTCCTTCTGAGCTGCATGCATAGCACTCATGAATGTCAAAGGGAGATACATTTGTTTGAGCTCTATGATACTTTGCCATCTTAGGCCTGTGGGTCCCTATGACTTTTCGGCTGAACAATATCTATTCTGGTCAATAATATAGTGTTGGTAGAGCTAACAAAAGCAAGTCTGTATTCAGTTCTGTCATACATCATTAGCAAAATTGCCAGCTAAAGTTCCAATTCCCGACTCTTTATTGTTGGTAATGAGGTACAAAGGAAAAAGAACACAGCTCAATTTTTAGCTGCTATATTGAGCTTTCAGTACAGAGAGCTGGAAAAAAAAAAGGTGGAGATTGAGCATGAAGGGTTAAGATGTCCTCTGCTATGGAATAACTTTTATGACTCCAACTACTCTTTGAAACTTTATTACGTAGCCACTGACATGACTAATAGGGGGTAACCTTTACATAGATAGATCTTCCATCTCTTTGCAAAGATATATACGTATGTGTGTACATATACGTATATGTATATGTGTACATATATGGAAACTGAGCCTAAGAGAGGTTAAGTGAATTGTTCAGGGTCACACAGCTGCTAAAGTATCTGAGGTAAGATTTGAACCTGGGTCTTCCTGATTCCAAGTCCAGCATTCTAGTAACATCGCCTAAATGTCTCTAAAGCAAATTTATCGCTAGGTATATGCTAAGAGACACTGTGGCCTAACAGTCATAAGGTTCCCTTTACTTTCCCTAGTGCTTTGTAGCTTTTGTATTTGGTAGGCCACAGTTGGCCAAGATGGGGTTTTGTGTAAAGAAGGCTCTGTGAGAGTAAAAGTTCATTGATACAAAAGTCCTATTAGCCCCAGGCTTGCTATTGATTCCTGAAACTTCACCCATCCTGGAAGCAAAGATGAGAATTCTCTAAGCCAGACAATAGAGAGTGAAACTTCAGGATTGCTCCTAGAAACAGAATTCATTATGGCCTCTCCCCCAGAGCCTGGTCACACCTGTACAAAAAAAAATGGCTGCTCTATGGAATATTGAAGAGGATGACATCGGTCAGCTTGCCTCCTGGGATTTGGATGCGGCCTGACAGGCATTCTCTCTTTTCTTTTTTGTTCCAGAACTGAGATCTTATTAATGGAGGGCACTCTGAAGAAAAGAATCAGCATAGATTGAAATTCACTCTGCAAATTACGCTTCAGAGTGGCCAGCTATACTAAGAAGTTATTAAGTGGCACAGTAGATAGAGTGCCGGACTTGGAATCATGTCAGACCTGAGTTCAAATACTTAGATATTAGTAAGTCATTTCATATCTCAGCCTCAATTTCTTCATCTGTAAAATTGGGGGCAATAATAGCACAAAGCATTGCTGTGAGAATTAAACAACACATGTAAAGCACTTTGAAAACCTTAAAGTATTATATAAATGCTAGGGGTTTTAGTCGCTTTTTTTTTTTGCTTGGTTGTTTGCTCAGAATCATATAGCCAGTATGTATCAGAAGCAGAAGTTGAACCCAGGTTTTCTGGATTCCAGGACTGGCTCTCTGTTCACTCTCTCATTCACTCTTGAAATAAAAGTAAAAAATAGAGGTCCCTAAGTAGCAGTTTATAGTATTCCGTTAACTATATAGGACAAAAATACATGCCATAATAAGATCTCTCACAAACCTTGCTTCACATGCAACTAAGACATCTGATGAACTTGTGGGGTTATTGAAAGGACAGTTCTCACCATGACCATTAACCATTCTCTGGAGACTATCTGAATCAACAGCCTGGTGAGAACATCATTGCTTACACTTGGGAGCTAAGCCATCTGCTTCCATACTGCAATGTGAGGAGGTTTCTTAGACCACACGGTATATAATGATTCTTCTTGTACATCTAGAAGTTGAGGGAACCAACTAATAATGACTCTTGAATGAAGAAGCTGGGTGTAATATATAATAGTGGTTCAAACCAAGGCCTCAGCCAGTTATTGAGACTATATAAATCAAAGCATAACACACATACACACACACACACACACACACTCACACACAAGCACACTTACGTATATGCACATAAATAAGCACCTACTATCAATTGCTGTTCATGCCACAAAAGTGAAGGGCTTGTCAACAAAATCATTAGGACACTGGAAACTCAGGTTCTCCAATATCACCTCATTTGTTCAGACCAATTCACTCTTGCTCCAGATCTAGAAGACGACCCTGGTGTTCCTTTACACAATCAAAGATACAGAGAGTTGAGTAATCTAAAATAAGGAGAGCCAGCTCCAGAGAAGATCCATCCATTAGAATGAAATCCAGAACTACCATAACAATTTACAGCATTTGGCTTCAGGAGGCTTCAACTATTCATAGGACAAGGAAATCCAGGATTTATGTCATTCTAAAGAGCTCATAACAAGATGCCTTAAAAACTGCAATATTCACAGTGATATTCATAAATGAATATCTATGAGTGCAAGATAAAAGTCAACCCCAGCTAGGATAAATAAAAAATCAGTAAAGATACCTTCCACAGTGTTTTCCCCCTCACATAGAAATTTCCAAGGTTAATTAGGCCACTACACAGTCTTCAAATTTACAATGATCACTAAGTGGATGTTTCTGGAAACTGTGCTTTGAATATATGATATGGTGCCTTCATAAAGAAACTTACAAAGAAGCTCATGAAATTAGTGGGAAATCCACTTAGGAAAGAGCAGGTTAGCCCCACGAGGAAATCAATGCCCTAAATCATTCATGTTCTCAGAACAGCTCAGCCGCAGGAATATGTCAGCAGGTATCACAGGGTATCTCCAAGGGACTACTTGTGTACATGGAATAATTACTGTCATTCCATCTCAGTCATTCAGTCAACTAGCATTTACTAAGTGCTTAACATATTACAGGCACTGTGCGAAGTTCTGGAGATACAAAGAAAAGTGAAAATATAGTCTTAACTCTCAACAAGCTCATATTATAATGATAAAATGTGAAAAACTGTACATACAGGATATGAACAGTGAAAGGGTAATATCAGAAGATACTAACAATGAGTTAGAGGCTAGGGTTGGGTGGGGGGAAGAGGGATGTGAAGATGGAAACTGAGAAAGGCTTCTTGCAGAAAGTGAGATTTGAGTTGAATCTGGAAGGAAGGGAAGGAAGCTAGAAGGAAGAGGTGAGGTAGGAGAGCATTGTAGGCATGAGACACAGCCAGTAAAAGGACATAGAGTCAGGAGATGGGTATCAAGTTCAGGAATATCAAGAAAGCTAGTATGGCTAACTTGTAGAGTATGTGGAGAGCAATAAAGTATAAGAAGACTGGAAAGGTAAGAAAGGGCCAGGATGTGAAGGGCTTTAAATGCCAAAGAGAGGATTTTATATTATCCTAGAGACAAGAGGGAGTTTGTTTGTTTTGTTTTGTTTTGTTTTTTGAGTAAAGAAGGGACATAGTAAGTGCTATGCTTTAGGAAAATACTTTTGTTAGAAGAGCAGAAGATGAATTGGACTGGGAAAGACTTGAGTCAAGGGAGACTATTGCAACAGTCCAAACATGAGGTGATAAAGTCCTGAGCCACAGTTGAAGCTGTGTGAGTGGAGAGAAAGGGATATTAGTGCACCAAGTCACTTGAAAGTTAAAAATATGCCTTTTGCTTTGAGGGGGAAATTTCTACGATGTGTTTAAGCATCTAAACAAGCAAGGCACCATTAAAGCAGTTACACATGAGTGCTTGGTAAGCAATACCATTTTTGCTGGAATTGAGACCTAATGATAAAGTGAGACTCTTTTACTACAAATGGACCTTAGTAAGGCTCTCAATTACTTATAATCAGTGCTTGAAGTTAATCAACTCTGCTTCTTTTATTGAAGGGGAAGGTTTTTACAAACTTAGCTTTGCCCAAGTTTTTCAATAGCTGATTATCAATGCTACTACGGGTTGTCTCATTAATCAAACAGCATTACAAGTTAAGCTCCTCTGGTCTTGATTTTCTGTTATGCCCAGGATTTTCCATTATTTCATGAAGAACTTATTTCTAGAATCCAAGGTGTAGAATCATATTTTCACTGTGGGACCAAGAAAAGATGAACACAAGAGAAAGACTTCAAAAAAAATTCTACTTTGTTTCAATACATTAGCTATTCAAATGCACAAAAAGAAACTTGAAATTGTAACTTCACAGCATCTTCGGCTATAGTAGCCCTGGTGATGGTATTTACCCCCACAAGATAAGGTACATATGATCTGTGATATTCATATTCCCAAATTAAAGCAAGTTCTTCAAGCCTTCCTCTGGGGCTAATCAATTTCTACCTAATTTTGCTTCCAGAGATGCCTCACACAATGAAGTCACTTCATTGCCTACTGGAAAAAAAAAAGTGTTCCATGGTGTTGGTAGTACAAGGAAATTTTCTATAATGTCTCAAAGAGGAATTGGCTGCTGTTTCTATACTAAGAAATTGTGTATGTGTGTGTGTGTGTGTGTGTGTGTGTGCATGATCAACAAGAAACATGGGGTATTTCAGGATTCCTTGCAACACAGTTTGAGAAATATGACTCTAGATTCACCTAGAATCATCTCCACGAAGACTTAGGGGATGATTTAAAAGCCAACCAAGAACATTTTGGATTTTTACTATGTCTTCTTTGCTCATTTTTACCCACAATAGTTTTTCTTTGCTAGAAATTAGGAAACTGAATCAAGGTGAGTTTTTGTCACAATCCCTAAAGTTACAAGACCCAAGTCATACAAGAAGCTCCAGAGTATAGATGAACCAGTATTGCATTGATCAATGGCAAAACAGTCCTTCCCACGGTGACTGTATAATGGCAGAACCATTAAATATATCCCCTCTAGAGACATCTTTAGCATTGATCTTTCGATTACATCTCCTAGGGACTCACTGGAATCACCAGGCTAAGGAAGCAGTATTTCTTTTCTGGGAACCACTTTAGACATGAACATAATAAGGAAGCAGCCTTGAAGAATTTTGCCCTCTTGTTAGAGGGCAATATGTCAGAGATTATGTCATGAAGGAAATTTAGTTACACACATATAAGATGACCAACTGAACTTAATAGAACTTTAAGGTTTGTCTCATTTGATAATCACAAAAATCCTGGGAGGTAAGTACTCCAGGTGTTATTAATCCCTTTTTGTAGACAGAAAAACTAAGGCTCAAGTGGGCTAAGTGATTTTTCTGTGGTCACAAAGCTGGCATAGTGTCAGATGAATAGGATTCCAACTTTGGATTCCTATCTATTATGCCACATAGCTTCGGTGGAAGGGCCTATCAAAGATGATAATGTTGTTCTATTTGAGTGTCTTTTTTTTTCCAGGTTAGGAGATGTGTGGGAAGGAAGCTTGTTTTCTAGAAGTCTGGATCAAAGGGTCATTGTTCCTAAAATAGCTATGCAGGTCGGAAGGTGAGATGCCCCACACAGGTAGGCCCCTCATGGCCTAGTGGATAGTTGAATGGAACTGGAAGTGTGGTCTAGGGCCTGCTAACTTCATAGCCAACTTTGTGGGAAAGTTTATACTTCATGATGTGAGGGCTAGCTTTCTGTCTCTTCATTAACGATATTAAAAGTAATCAAATCAGGGGAAAAAGTGAATTTATTGATCTCTATTTCCTTTGCACAAACACTGGAAATTTTCTGAGGGGTGTGTGTGTGTGTGTGTGTGTGTGTGTGTGTGTGTGTGTGTGCTTGATCTCTAGCAGATGAGTATTTTTCCATCAGAAATTCATCCTTCTCTTTTATTATGTACTTGTTAGGCTTTCCAAAAGTTCCTATTTCGGAAAAGAATCTGACAGCTTTTTAAAACTTAAAAAAAAATTTGAATAACTAAAAGCTCCTGAAGGAATCCATATAGTAAAATATAAAAGTCTCCAGACTATATTTCCCCACCCAGAGAGTGTGCATAGTATGAAAGGAAAAGAAATCAGATTGGAATGAAATTGGACTATGGGACTCATCTTCATTTCAGAACAGGGATCAATTACTGCCCTCTGACTATTAACACAAACACCCCTCCCTCCCACTGCAAAACCACAGAATTATCACACATTTTCTTCCTTCTTGGAAGATATGCTTTCCCCTCCTAATTATTATAACTCTAAAGTTCTTAGACTAAAGTGTTTGATCGATGGCTTTAGAATATCAGTTTCTTCAGATCTGTTTCATCTGGGAACACAGAGACAAAGAAACTTTCATTACCTTTCCCTGCTTTGTGAATGTGACTAGACATTAAACAATAGACTTAAGTTGCTAGTCATAACTTATGAGTCCTAAAGCTCCCATAAAATTCATATATTCACGGTTTTTACCACTGAAGTGACATATCAACCC